TAAGAATTAACAAAGTCATAAGAAAATTCTGGAAAAGTAACCGTGAACAAAAAGAATTAATATTAATCACATAAAAATTAGTAATATAATAATGTACCTTAGTAAATCTGTTAAGAGTCCAATAATATACAACGAGAAAGAAATGTAGACTGTAGTGCATTTCGTGGTACAATATAATAGTCTTTTTATTTTATAAGTTATTATAAGCAAATTCGCAAAGGTAACAAGCATCTGACTTACACATGTCAAACAACGAAATGTCAAGCAGAAAAACATTATCGAGAACGAAAAACGGAAAAATAGGGAGAAAAAAGGAGAGATGTTAGGAAAGAAAAAAAGAATGTATAATGTCAGAATATAATTCCGGCAAAGACTCCGTGTCATTTTGTCTATTTATCCCATGCTTCTGTTTTTTAATATGGACCATTTCAGATATCAACCTTTTATTATATGAAGGTTCTACATCTAATATTTCCACTTTATTCCATTTAAAGTTATGATTCTTCTCAATACGATGGTTGAAAATCACTGATGGAGATTTTGAACTTATATTGATATCAGAAATATGTTCATGCAATCTGGTCTTTAATTGTCTTTTAGTTTGGCCAACATAACTGACATCACAATCCTCGCAAGATATTCTGTAGACCACATTTTGATTCTGAACGTGTTCTAAATCATCCTTTCCTCTCTTTATTTCTTAATGTGTTAGGAACAGTAAAAGCCAATTTACAATTAAACATATTAATAATAGGTATAAATCTTTCGAATATCGTATTAACATATGGAATCGTAAAAAATCTCTCAGTGTCATCCTTATTCTTATTCAAATTATTAATCTTATTAATGTGATATTTAATTCTATTATGAAGTGGAAAAAATAAACGCAACGGATACTCATTCTGTAAAAAAATTTTAATAGCGTCAATCAAATTATTTCGTTGGAATTTCGGATGACACAAACAAAAAATCTTATCCACAGCGAAGAAGGTTTCGTCTTTCGATGCGATAAAATTATCCACTCATTTTCGCACTTCTTCAAAGTGCTGCTCGAAAGTGTACACCGGACAAGACGTTTTGCATTGACCGGAGTAAATGATAATCAGAAGGGGCTATGTCTGGGCTATACGCCGGATAGAACTACGTTCCGGCAGAACTTCCCAACCAAGAGTTAGCAACGTTTCCTTTATAGGTTTACCAACATGAGGCCTAGCGTTGTCATGAAGCAATTTCACAGGACATTTTCCTTTGCCAGTAAATGGACGATTTCGTTCGATTTCTTTATTTAAACGGATCAATTGTTGACTGTAGCGATCACTGTTAACCGTTTCATTCGGATGGAGCAGTTCATAATATAGCACACCCTTCATGTCCCACCAGCATAACTTTGCTATTGTGGATGTTGCGTTTTGGCGTTGATGTAGTGGGTTGTCCTGGACCCACATAATGTTTTCTCTTTTTAGGATTATCGTAAAAAATCCACTTTTCATCACCAGTCACGATTTTCCACAAGAAAGATTTTCTATGCTGTTTATTGTACAGATTCAAACACTTCTCAAGACGATCATTTTTGTTTTTTTCGCTTAATGCATGCGGCACCCACTTTCCTTCCTTCAGAATCTTTCCCATCTGCCGTAAACGAATTGAAATATCTTATTGAGTTATTCCAAGTTGCTGTGCAAGTTCGTTTTGTGTTTGACATGAGTTTTGATCGAGTAATGCTTGCAATTTATTGTTTGTAACCTTCTGAGGAGCACCACTACGTTCTCTATCGCTAACATCAAAATCATCCTCTTTAAATCGCCTAAACCAAAACTCACACGTACTTTTGGATACAACATTGACTCCAAGAACAGAACAAATTGATTCACATACTTTAGCAGCGCTTTTTCCTTGATGAAATTCGTATCGAATGTAATGTCGAATAAATTGCTTGTCGCTCGTCATTTTAAAACCATTTAATTTTGAGGTTAAGTTTCCAATTTTATGAAGTCAATTATGTTTTTTAATAGTACACATTAAGCGCCATTACATATCAAAAGAGCGCGAAAATATTTGAATTCTAAGTTTAAATTATACGTTACACAAAAAACGCTTTAAAACTTATTTGTAACCTAATATTAATGTGATATTTGATTCTATTATGAATAGTCGAAAAAATAAAATGTAACGGATACCCATTCTGTAAAAAAAAAATAAAAAGGGGCAATCAAGTAATTTTGTTAGAATTTCGGATGACACAAACAAAAAATCTTACCCACAACTCCATAAATTACACCTCTTTTATGACAAAGTGGATGGTGTGAATGGAAATTAAGAAATCTATCGGAAAAAGTTGCTTTACGATACATATCAAATTATCAAATTCAATATATTAAATTCAATATAATGAGAGTATATGTAAAGATAACATAGTTACATGAAAAATTCTAACATATTGATGTTATTAGGTGTTGGAATTAATTCGTAGCGTTTTTTAATGAAAGAATGTTATTTATTTCACATGAGCATTAAAAAATACATTAATGAAAGTACTTCCCATCACTTGTAAAACGCTACGAATTAATTCCAACACCTAATACATTAATGATAGTTGGTGGGGCAGATATTTTTCTCTAATGTATATCTCTTATTTTTTAGGTTCATTTCTTTTCATCAAAATTATTCTGCGTTGGTAGCAAAAAAGTTAGGAAAGATGCCATATAGAATTTGTTTTGCAAATGCGATGAATCTGTAAAATTAGAAGAAAAAAATTGAAACATATTATTCATAATGATACAGTACCTGCAAAAATTATGTCACCTTTTGGTTTTTTAAGCATAATTTTTTTTAAACTATATAGATCTCTATCAAATTATAATATGTTTTAATAATAGATATAGTTTACTGAACAAATAACTTTTCATCAAATAATAAAAACAATAACTTGTAAAAATTAATTTTATTTAAAATCTCTAAAATATGTCAAATTTCATAATAAATTTTTAATTACCATAACAAAAATAAATGTCTTCAAAATGAACAAAAAATTCATAATTTAGATTGTACAACTCTAATATTTTGTAGCAAAACTCTTGACATCGATTACAGGCAGCGTCTGGGCGAAAGAATCAATAAGTGCATCAATTGTCGACTGAGAAATCTTCTTTCATTCTTCCTTCAATTAGGCGAATTTTTCGGCCATATTTGTAGCTCGCTTACTAGCTAAACGTCTCTGGAGTTCATCCCACAACGGTTCGATGATATTTAGGTCGGACGATTGGCTTGGTCACTCTAGAAAAGTTACTCGATGCTGTCGAAACCACTTCTGCACTTTAGCCGCGCGATGCTTTGGATCATTATCTTGCTAATATATAAAGCCACGACCAAGGAAACGCTTTGCGTACGGAAGCATCACATTCTCGAGGATGTCTACGTATATTTTTTGCCGTCGATCCTATGAAGGGGACCCATTCCCTTTGCAGAGAAAGCACACTACCTCCGTGTTTCATTGTAGGAAATTAGTACTAGGGTCGAAGCGCTTGCATTTAGAACGAATCCATGTTATTCCGTCAGTACCAAATAACAAAAACTTACTTTCGTCGCTCCAGACGACAGAGGATCACTGCTGAGGTGTCCTATTAAGATGAGCTTTCACCCATTCCACTCGCACCTTCCGGTTCTTGGCGGAAATAAATGGCTTCTTTACGGGTCGTCGTCCATGTAGTCCTGCAGATGATAACATATGATCCGTATGATTGGACCAGACTCACCAGAAATTAATATTTCTTTGGCAATACCTGATGCCGTGAAACGTGAATTGCTGCGGGATATGCGGAGGATATGCGATCAATGACAGAAGAAGTACAACGCGGTCGCCCGGTTTTCTTCTTCTTGACATAACCTCCCTGGGCCTTCCAACGCTTCAACAATTTGGTTACCGCCGATTTAGAAATGTCAAACTGTTATGCGAGCTCTTCGTACAGTCGTCCTTTGCGGCCTTCTATGATAGCCTTCTGCTGTCGTCTATATCTCGAGCACCATGGATTTTTGCCATAATGTAAAACACTAAATTTACTGCTAAAATTAGGTTAAGACCGTAAGAACAATGGCTGCGACATGAAAAACAAAGAAAGCACAAAAATGCGATTTTGCCAAAATCAATAAAAAATTCAAAAATCATGGCGTAACATTGTCAAATTTTATTACACTTCATGTACAAAATGCATCTACCATCAGGTATCCACGTAAAATTTTGAGCGTATTTGATACTCTTTGACGAAAGTTATACTCAAAAACCAAAAGATGATAATTTTTGCCGGTACTGTAGTTGTTGCGTAAAAAACTGTCAATTTTATGTGAATTTTATGTGTTGAATTATTAATATTTTTCTTTTCTTGTTATAGATGTGACAATTTATGATAATAAATATATTTATAATAATAAATGTTGTGTAATATTTAAAAATTTATGTTGAATAAATATTTTATATTTTTCTTGATTAATGACATATATATTTTTTATGATGTTTATAATTAATCTTTGTTAGGGAGAGGACCTCGGTGTCCTCGTTGCGTTATGTGAAACTGAAAACACTGTTTTCTCGTAGTCGGAGACTTGTGTCTCATGCCTTGTGGCTTGTCCGAAGGAATTAGTTGCGCGTGATAAAAGCTGAAACCTTACCTTGATATAAAATGCTTTATTATTTCTTAATTTGCACTCGCGTACACTGTCAGATTAAAGAATAAAAAACGGTTTGTACACCGGTCTTGAACATGTTCACCGCAAGGAGATCGCACACGGAAGCGCCGAAAAATCTAAAAGCGCGGCGGATCCGCACGCAAGCAGCATAGTGCATGCCCTCCCTCTCGATAGGCCTTATCAGCGACACGACACGCCGCAACCATGCCGCAATCACGTCGCAATCACTTCGCAAGCCAACGGGCTGGCATCACACGCTGAGCTAAATACTGACACGTGCCAACATACGCCCTTGAAAGAATCGCCTTTCAATACAAATACAAAATGAATATGTTTGATCCACAAAATAACATCATGTTGTCAACGATGAAGATAATAATACTAAGACATGAACATGAACCAAGAGATACACAAAAAACGTCAAATTTCCAATGTCATAACCAGACCTTAGTTTTCAATTTGAAGTAGACAGAGATGAGTAATCGGTCGCTTGTAACTGCCGTTAGCAGTACGCACCGTTACAACGTGTGTAACGGTGCATGGTATCCTTGCCTAGATGTATGTCTTGAATTCTTCCCAGAAGCCATGATAGGAGGAATGTTGTCTTCCTTGATGATAACCATTGGCCGACATGTATGGACGGTTCGTTTATCTGCCACTTGTTACGTTCCTGGCATTGGTGAAGGTACTCGCGGGTCTATCGTTTCCAAAAATGTTGTCGCAATAGCTGTATGTATTGCCATCGGGAGAAACGGTTTACAGGTACCTCGTCCAGGAATGACTCTGGATACGCTGTGAGAGGTGTATCCTAAAGAGAGGTGTATACTAAAAAGTGTCCGGGAGTTAGAGAGGTGAAGTTGAGGTTCTCGGAAAGAGAGGTGAGAGGACGCGAGTTCAATATCGCTTCAATCTGGATGAGCAATGTTTCCAGCTCTTCGCGTTTCAAATTGGAATTCCTTGTAATGCGAGACAAATGTTGCTTAGTCGCCTTCACGGCGGCTTCCCATAAACTTCCATGGTGGGGAGAGCGTGGTGGGATAAAGTGCCATTGCACTCCTAAATTTAATGTTTGATCCTGGATATGTTGTTGAGTTGACTCATTACGCAGCAGCTCCCTTAATTCGTTCAATTCGCGTTCGGCCGACGAAGTTTAGTCCATTATCAGAAAAGATGTCCGAAGGGCAATCTCTTCTTGCTACGAACCGCTTGAAGACGTTTAGAAATGCTTCTGACGACAAATTAGATGCCAATTCGATATGGATCGCCTTGGTGGCTAAACAAATAAAAATTGCGATATAGCATTTTATCAGCTTAGGATCTTCTAGCACCTTCCTTGTAATAGAGGGAGCCGGCATAATCCACTCCACATTGACCAAATATTTTTGAAGAAATTTTAACCCGCGGTTCCAGTAAGTTTCCCATAATAGCGGAAGCGAATCTTGGTGAACTCTTGAAATAGACGATGTATCTCCTGAGAATTTGTGGAATGACGTTACGCGCGAAAGTGAGCCAGTAACGCTCACGTACGGCGGCCAGAGTAGCTTGTGGTCCAGCATGAAAGTGCCTTTCATGCTCGTGTATCACAATTAAGCGGGAAAATGGATGATTTCCAGGCAACAGCATGGGATGCTTGGAGGCATAAGGTAAGGAGGATTCTCTCAAACGACCGCCGATACGTAAGATGCCAGAATCGTCAAGAAATGGATTTAATTTTAAGATAGAACTGTTTGTAGGAACAGCCCTGCAGCTACTAAGTGCCTTCACTTCACTTGAAAAATGCCTCGTTTGTATTATTTTGATTAGACGATAAATTGCCTGTTGCTGCTCATTGAAAGATATACGTGGAATGTTCTTATTCTGCAAAAATGAGATCTCCTGAGAATGGTCGGATCCCTTGAAATCCCTTGAACTTTTGGATCTTTTTGTAAAACGAATTATGTACGCAAAGACTCGAATGAGCCTGTTAAAGTTTGAATAGAATATGTCAGGTTCTTGTACATCAGCGCTCACTGCGGTGATAGCCTTAAGTTTTCGCTCAGGGACGTTGGCCACGTCCACAGGTAGAGCCTTTTGAGACCAGTTTTTTCCACGTCCCAGCCAGGAGGGCCCCGACCACCAGATTTCCAATTACGCTAGGGAACCCGGCATGACACCGCGGGACAATGGGTCCGCGGGATTGTCCTGACTCGGAACGTGATTCCATTGCTGAATCGATGTTAATTCTTCTATCTCACCAATGCGATTTGTCACGAAGGTTGACCAAGATCGATCGCACGATTGCAACCATGATAGTACAATTGTAGAATCCGTC